CGACTTCTTGAGAAAGCTTATTACGTATTTTTTAAATAATTTTAGTAAGCCGTAAGGCTTTCAAAAGCGACAGCGAAGCAACGAAAAATTCGACTTGTGTTAAAAAGCAATTTAATACATCTTTGTAGTTTTCACTGATGTGCATTTAATAAAATTTAATATCTTTCCGGTCGCGTACAGGATGAACCGTAATTCTTTGTCCAGTTTTTTTCCGCATCCTTGACCAAATATCCGTTTAATGCATCAAGTGTTTTAACGTTCGATTTATTGTTGACGAATTTGACGTTTACTCCAACTGTTCCTCATTTTTCATTTTTTCTCTTTACATCATTTTCCATATTATTTTTCTCTTTACGATTTCTGGTTTGTTTTGTTCTTTTCTAGTTTTATCTACTTTCCTGCGTGAGCAAATGTAGTTCTAATTCTGGTATAAAGTCAATGAAGACAATGATAGGTCGAGTGCACAGATTAAAGCATTAAAATTCCTTCCAAAGTATTCCCGAACTGCAAAATATTTTGCATGTTTGAAATAGACATTGTGGTATAATACTTCAGTAAGCTCTTAAGGATTTTTTCATTGCCATCAAAAAAAGTTTTTCTCAGTTTTAACTGCGATATGATATAACAGAACAAAGTCGAATAAAAACGATATTCCGTCCTATGGCAAGCACTCTTTGGGCTCTTCGCGTGACTAGCCATAAGGACGTATGCGCTGGAGGTCACGTGATCCTTTGTTGGTCAGACATCATCTAATACTAATAATAGATATGTCCGGTGGTCTGTTTCTATAACGTCACTAAACAAAAGATTTAATTGGCAAAACAATGGCTGTGCACGTGCAATATAATTCTTATTACATTTCTTTGCCGTCCTCTCGGCAAAACAACAACGTGAAATGACCAAATTGTGCTTTGTCTGGAGAACGTGAACCACAACGGCTAATTTTTCGTATTTCTATTTGGAATTGAACGCATTCGTAGCATATTCAGCAGGGGCAAGTGTTAATACCGACAAACACACTGGATAGAAACACATTTTTTACTTTGTCTCGCCGGAAGTGACGTTTGTTGCGATTAGACACAAGAAAAGGTATACATTTAACAGTTTATGGTCTGTAGTTCCGTTGTCATCCAAGTGAAGGCACTTCTTGGTCGATGGCATGCTAAAATGAGCTAGAATGGTTATCGATTGCCGGCTGTAATTAGAAAAACTGCCGGACAAGACTGA